CATATCAACTTCAATACTTTGCAATATTTATTTTAAAAAATACTATTGATTAACTAATTATTTATTGTAAATAGGAAAATTTTGTAACCTAAAGTTTTTAATTTCTTTTATGAATATAGAATATAAATGTTACTAATACTAAGTATTTTGTTAATGCAAAGTTGACCAAAACAACAATTGTAGATCTTTTTGAGTTTAACAAACTTGGTATTCAAAACTTTTCAATTCGAAGTCATTTAGAGTCCATAATACTAGGGTCAAAGTGTTGTTTTTTCATTTGACCAAATTTGACTTGGTCAAACTTGCTCAAATGAGACACTAAATGACCTCAGATGAAAAAACTCTGAATACCAAGTTTGATCATCTCAGCAAGATCTACAATTGTTACATAGATCATTTTCCCATTTGAGAAATTTTTATCAAACACTAGTCACAATTTTCCTTATCTCTTATAGACTTCTAAAACTATGTCACACACTTGTGAAAATTGAACTACATTTTATTCAAGCTTTCTCAAATGAAAAAATGGTCTATATAAGGATTGTAGATATTGATGATATGAACAAACTTGGTATTCAAAACTTTTCAATTTTAGACAATCTAGGGTTCCGAAAACTAGTTTGTAGGCGTCGAAATTTAAAAATCATAAATTTGAACCGTCCAAACTTTCTCAAATGGAAAGTTGACCAAAACAACAATTGTAGATCTTTTTGAGTTTAACAAACTTGGTATTCAAAACTTTTCAATTCGAAGTCATTTAGAGTCCATAATACTAGGGTCAAAGTGTTGTTTTTTCATTTGACCAAATTTGACTTGGTCAAACTTGCTCAAATGAGACACTAAATGACCTCAGATGAAAAAACTCTGAATACCAAGTTTGATCATCTCAGCAAGATCTACAATTGTTACATAGATCATTTTCCCATTTGAGAAATTTTTATCAAACACTAGTCACAATTTTCCTTATCTCTTATAGACTTTCTAAAACTATGTCACACACTTGTGAAAATTGAACTACATTTTGTTCAAGCTTTCTCAAATGAAAAAATGGTCTATATAAGGATTGTAGATATTGATGATATGAACAAATTTGGTATTCAAAACTTTTCAATTTTAGACAATCTAGGGTTCCGAAAACTAGTTTGTAGGCGTCGAAATTTAAAAATCATAAATTTGAACCGTCCAAACTTTCTCAAATGGAAAGTTGACCAAAACAACAATTGTAGATCTTTTTGAGTTTAACAAACTTGGTATTCAAAACTTTTCAATTCGAAGTCATTTAGAGTCCATAATACTAGGGTCAAAGTGTTGTTTTTTCATTTGACCAAATTTGACTTGGTCAAACTTGCTCAAATGAGACACTAAATGACCTCAGATGAAAAAACTCTGAATACCAAGTTTGATCATCTCAGCAAGATCTACAATTGTTACATAGATCATTTTCCCATTTGAGAAATTTTTATCAAACACTAGTCACAATTTTCCTTATCTCTTATAGACTTTCTAAAACTATGTCACACACTTATGAAAATTGAACTACATTTTATTCAAGCTTTCTCAAATGAAAAATGGTCTATATAAGGATTGTAGATATTGATGATATGAACAAACTTGGTATTCAAAACTTTTCAATTTTAGACAATCTAGGGTTCCAAAACATATTACATAATATCCGTCTCTAAAACATAATATATTAAACATGCATCGTTGTATCATGCGGCACTGTGATGAATTTCTTCTTGACGTATGACCCTTGGTTATGATCTTGTCGTAACCATGGAGTGTCTTCATCATTTAACATGATGCTTGGATCTTTCTTCACTATGAAGGGTGGAATTCGGACATTTCTTTCGTAATCTTCGGACATGTCTGACTTGTCTTCAATTCCTACTATATTTATTTTCCCAGAAAGAATTATGTGGCGCTTTGGCTCATTGATCATTGAGTTGATGTCTTCGTTTTTTCCTCTCTTTGATTTTGTAGACATGTCTTTCACATAGAACACCGACTCACATCGCTGAAAGAAGGACGAATGGTTCCTCTTTGTATCCAATATTGTTGAGGTCCTTTGTTGTCATTCCATACTCTTTGTCGATTGTTACCCTCCTCCGGTCAACTTCACCCATTGGCAACCGGAACAAAGGGACTTTAAAGTTTGTTACCTCCAAAATCGAAGAGCAACACCAATGGAGGGGAGAGTGCAAGAACAAACAAAAGTGAAGAACAGAGGCGTGAGTTTGAATAATGGAATGGCTCGGGCTCGGGGAGGAAGAATTGAGCGAATTATAGGTCGGGATAATTAGTCCCGGTTAGGGGTCCAAACGGGACTAAATATTAATCTTTATTTCGGGGCATAACCCAAACCGGGACTAAAGCTTTAGTCCCGCTGGTATTACCAACCGGGACTAAAGGTAAACCTTTAGTCCCGGTTGGTAATACCACCGGGACTAAAGATCCTCGCCTCATGGACGACCGTTAGGCGGGGACCTTTAGTCCCGGTTGAGTATTACCAACCGGGACTAAAGGGTCCTTTAGTCCCGGGGCAAAAATGCCGAGGCTAATGCTAAATTGGGACATCGTTCTAAAGTCATTTCTCTAGTAGTGCGGTCGAGTCAAACTTGGCTCCACGCTGGCCTGAGCCAACACGTGATGCACCGGCTTCGTCTTCAACTTCGAGGACAGCAAAGCCCGACTAGATCGGCGAGAAAATAGTAGATGCCCTTGGCTACAACGGCGTGAAGGATGAGATTCAATCTCGTGCCTGTTCCCCATGCCGAGTTGCCGGCTGGATGATGTTGTCTCGAGGTACGCTATAGATCAGCATGCACATCCCCTACGGCATGCCACTTGTCGACGAAATATGTCCGCAGTCTACCAAGGGTATGCCCATGGTAGTAGATGAATCGATGGAGATGCATGTGAGGGAACCGGATGGTGACACGTGAACGCAAGAGACGGTGATTAGACAGTTCGGACATCGTGACTTGGCGTAATATCCTACGTCCTGTGTCTTTCGGTGAGTTGTATTGCGTATGATCAGCGGCCTTAGGCTAAGCATAGGATCCATATGGGGATGTCGACTAGGGGACCCCTGTCCCTCCTTATATGCTCTGGAGGGGTAGGGTTACAAAGAAAGTATCCTATTTTATATTATATAATATCTAATAAATCACATCTTCTTGTAGTCTTGCGGTACACGCCGACCAGTGGTCAGACGCAGACGTCTTGATCTTGTGGGTGGGCACCTCTAATGGTGCGGCCCATGTCTTGTCCTGTGGTATCGAGGGTCATACTCCCCTGTGGGGACCTGTTGGGGCATGAACATATAAGTAGCGGAGGCCTATATAAATTAACATCAATCGCTCACATGTGATGATGTGCGAGGACACCAAGAGGGCCTTCGCCTCCGGTCTATGGCGAAGCGGAGGCCTAAGCGTGGGGACACCAAGAGGAGCCATGGCCTTCAACATTCATTTCGAAAATAGATGAAACATTGAGGACAGACTCTTGCAACATACGTGTACAACCATTATAATATTTACAACATCTCGATCTACTTTTGCAACAACCATATGAAACACTTGCAACATACCTCTAAACCATCTAAAACATTTGAAATGTGTACGCTTGAAACATGCATCGTATCGTGGTGCGGCCTCCTCCGCCGTTTCCATCTGGGCACCACAGTCGTAGCAAGAGACGAGGCTAGAGGGCTTCCACGCCAGGGCCCGGCACTTCTCCTTATGTTGGCGGTACTGTCGGCGTCTGCCGGGAGCAAGCACACGCTGAGCGACCGATTAACCAACTGGTGGCTACAGCGTATGCTGGTGGTGCCACGCCGTTAGGTGGGGCGGGCGGCGGAGCAAGTGGCAGGAGTGGCTGAGCAGGAGCAGGAGCAACACGGGGTGACCGTCGATAGCGAAGCAGCAGAGCAGAGCAGGGGAGCGGGCGGGCAGCGCGGTGGAGACGCCCGCGGCGGTGGTGGGGAACACTGCGATAGCCGGCGATGCGAGATGGGGAAATGTCGCTCTTTATTCTTTTATTAGTGAAAGAACGAAGGTAGACTAACCTGCATAGGCTGGTCCCTAGTCCTGTGAAGAAGCGTCCGGGACGGCAGGCGTCCGACGAACGTCTCACTAGAGTATTTCCATTTGTATATAGCTACTGACCCCTGCCTAGACCGAGATCTCATATGGTGAGGAATTGGCTAACGGACATAAAGAAGGACAGAGGAGACAAAACCTATTTTTGTAAGGTTGTTTGTGGCCTTTATTTGGACAATTTGGTGTTCCCGCAACGAACTCATTTTTTGAAAAAGAAAATAATTTACTTTCTTTTTCAGACTACTTTCAAGGGAACATATAGCTTCACTTGTAGGCGTTGTTGCAACATGATCACACAAGGGAGATGATGCAGAAGACGTCCAGAGCTTTGAAGGTTGTCGCTCTTGATATCTTTAGAAAAATGGATAGAAAGGCAATAACATACTTTTTGTTTATAGTTTTCCATTTAATGTGTGCTCTTTTTCTTTATTTGATAGCCACCAATTGAGCTGAAAACTGTCAAGAATTAGCTATAGGCTTCGCCAAGGCCAGAATCTTTTCCCTTCTAGAAGAACATTTAACTCCATTCTTGTCATAACGCACCAAAGACTGCATATCCGTCTAGAGTGCTCAATCGCAAAGAAAACTCGATGTGACTCGGTTTGGTTGGTAACGCATTAATTAATTCAACTATTCTAATAAATGATAAATAAAACAAGCATGCACTGCAGAAAGCAATTACAGAATAATAGTGCTCAATCGCAAGGCAAATATACAGTATTGTTACATCATAAAGCATAAACAAAACCAATTTCAGTCGCTGATCTTGCAATATACTAGCTTGATTTGAGATTAAACCCTCAGCCAGAACTGCTAGTGATGACAGTTGACAGACAGGCGTCCAACTTGAAGCTTATTATTGGGATAATTACTGTACGTGGTCACTATTGGTAGTAGCTACGATCTGTTACGGTCCCTGCTGTGAACCTCATCCAGAACCACAAAGAGAGCCGCGACGAAGACATGGTCAACGTGAGCGAACACGGTGACATTGAACGTGTCCTTTCCCAGCAGCACATTGGAGACAGTGTACTTACGGCTTATCTGCAGCACGCACCAACTTACAGTAAATTAATTAACGGTGAATGTGTGTGTTAACGGCTGAATATTTGCAGGCATATATGCACGAAAACATGCATGCATGCATGATTACTGTTAGAAACCAGATTAATTGATTTTGCACTCATGACGTCAGAGTCGCCAAGGTAGAAGGCGCAGTTTCTGTCGAAGTAGCTACCCTTCAACCTGAAATCGCAGGCCTGCTGGGCGGTGTTCCCGGCCAAGAACACATCCAGCTCTGTCCTCAGTTGCATCAGTGTGGATCTCTTCACGGTGAAGAGCAAATCGCTTGCGTTGGTGCTGTCCCCTCTGAACACTTCCCATCTGTTGTGCATACTAAATACCTGCAAAATAATATTGCAGTGCATGTGTTCTAGTTATTAGCTAGATCCCGTTGAATTAATTTTGTTTGCTCCTACTTATCCATCCTAACACAAAAATCGACCCTCAGGTTCAGGGCATAATAATCAGCAAGTTTTGACCACAAATTAAATTAAACATAAAGAACAGAGAATAGATCAATATTTTTGCTCCGGTTTCTTGGATGGTTGGTAGCAACGATCGATCCCTTTCTGAATCCAATCATTCGAAAAAAAAAACAAGTTGCCGACCGCGCGGCGAGTTTACCTTCTCGTGCATGGAGAGGACGGGCTGTCCGGCGGCGTACGTCGAGGAGCACGCGTCGGTTGCGGACGGTGAAAAAACTGCCCTTGACTTGCAGCTCGACGGCGCCGTTGGCGTCGGTGACGGTGAAGTCGCCGCCGCTGAGGCTCGCCACCTTCTTGGTCACCGTCAGCGGCACCACGTCCGGCGAGCAGAACTGGGGCGACACCACCACCACCGGCGCTGGCACCGGCGCCGAGAGAGGTTGGTACGGGCCCGCCATCATCGACCGGCCGGGGTATGGTTCACAGCTAGTTCGCCTCTGCCGCTGGTGCTGAGAGATCGTTTGCTGACTTTGCTTTCGACGGCGGACATGATTGGAGGCACGCCTTCTTGCTGTCCTTGATTGCAGCTTCCGTTTGCTCTTCTCGTTCGAGCTGAGTGGAGTATATAAATAGATCACTGACAGTTTTTTTTTTTTTTTGAAAATCAACAGATCACTGACAGTTGACAAGAGAACGGGTGGAGGTATAGACGCGTCGAGGGTGAGGACCGTGGACTGTGGAAAGATCTTTTGTTGAGCGGGGGCCCTCAAAATTCAAATAATTAAAGTGCAGAACAGGTCAATGATCACAGCCCATCATGCATGATCAGTTATTCGGTTCTGACTCATTCCAAATCTATATCTATATATAATATAATCTAAAAAGAAAACCCTACTAGTATAGCTATATGTCCAAAGTTATCCACATCAATGCAGACTACTAGCATGCAGTTCACATCATCCACCAACACGAATGTATACCTATACCAATAAATTAAAGTACGGAGGAGAGTGGCCCACGGTAGACGGGTAGAGCATGGAGGAGAGGAGCCCATGCATGACAAAGAGATAGGTGATGCATGCGGCCTTGGACATGATGGTGCCCTCTCCAAGCACATGCGAGAGATGTGTCGCCCTTGCCCTCGTCTAGCTCGTCGGCTTATCAGCCATAGTATAGTGTTTTTCTTTCAAAACAAATCAGCGAACATTAATTTTTAGCTTGACTTTTCAGCGAATCAAATAGGACCTAATGCCAAGATTTAGAAATAGTATAGCAAATGAATAGCAGGCCTCCACATGCACACGTACTGTATGTGGCATATATATTACGTACGTTTGCCGCGAGGATCAGGCCTCGCTCGTGCCCGTGCTCAGTGCAACTCCACGCCCTACATATGAAGTTTGCATAAAAAGGGCCAAAATGTGTTTGCATGCACGCTCCACATATGAAAAAGAAAAGAAAATGCAAGGATGACCTTTTTTTCTTGCATGGTGAGACTGCGACGCCGGTACTTACGGTGGTGGGCCCGCAGCAGGATTGAGGATGGCCAAGCCAAGCCAAAGTCGTCGCTGACGGCCGCGTGAAGTCGGTAGTCGCCGGCCATCTTTGTCACCGGCGGGCAGTACGTCAAAGGCACTTCCTTTATCATCATATTCTGGTACGAGAGGTCCTCTTTGATTAATAATTATCTGCCTATAAGGATTTGATCACCATTGGTTTCTTTGGATGGTTTTCACACATTGTAGGGCACCTCCTTTTTGTGTAAGTAATCCTACATGGGTACACAATTATTTCTGAAGGGTTGGGAGATATGCCTTATATCAATATAAAACTTGGTTTTATCTTAGTCTTCCATCTTGAATCTTTTTAGGCTAGACATAGTTGTATATAGTTCAATCATCTATATACGAGAGGCAGGGCACGGCAGCAGGGGTGGGGGAGCTGTAGTATGCGTCTAGGATTGGGCACACCGTGTTATGTACATGTACGGATTAAGCACGCCCTCTTTCGGGCTGGTTGAAAGGCCGCCATGGCCCTGGCCCATGTTTGCTATCAGTTTTGATTCGAGACACATGTCAAATAGCGTTTCTATGTTCTGCTAAAAAAATAGCGTTTCACTACTACAGGAATCAATTTGCGCAGCGTGGCCAAAATGGGCTCCGTGGCGGGCACCTCTTTTGCCCGCCACGGTTAACCGGTGGCCGGCCACCGAGGCGCCCGCTGCGGGAAAAGGGTTTACCGCAGCGGGCCACCTTACTTGCCCGCTGCAGGAAATCGTTATTTACCGCGGCGGGCGGTATGAATCGCCCGCCGTGGTTAATACGATTTACCATGGCGAGCTCTTTAAACTGCCCGCCGCGGTAAAGAGTTGATTTATCGAGGCGGGCACTTTATCTTGCCCGCCGCGGTAAAGCCTGTACAAATACACAGCACCACCCCTTTATCTTCTCCACGGGTCTTCCTCTCTCAAACTCATGGGGGAGGCTTTGCCCTAAAATTTGAGGAAACTTTTGATTTGAGTTGAAAGGCTTGGATTTGAGGGAGGAAGACATCATAAGAGGTTCATAAAGGCTCTCCCTCTCTCCTTCCATCCTCTCTCTCTATTTCCATCACCTAGAGTTATCTCTATCTCTAGATCTAGATCTAGATCTAGATCAATTTTAATGGAAAAAATGATGTCATGTATTTCTTTAACTTTAGATTCATCATAGATGCATGCTTCATCTTTCACATCGTCATTTCCTCTCTTTTTCATGATTTTGGACGTAAAAATCATCAATTTCTCCTAATTCTTCTTTATTTAATGTTGATTGTGACGGATAATGTTCGCAGGTATGATGGATAGGTCGGAATGGATGTACCGGATCGATAGAGTGAATGATCCGTGGTACCTCTTTGAATTAAGGAAGTTTATTGCTGCTGGTAAAGCTCACCGTGAGAGACTGAAGCGGATGACAACCATATGTCCATGTTCTCGTTGCAAGAACCTGAAAGCCCACCGAGACAGCGAGGTGCAAACTCATTTGATCATGTATGGTTTTGTCGAGGGCTACACAGTCTGGACATTTCACGGCGAAAGAGTTGGTGCGAGTGGCGGTGCATCTAGAGTGAGCTCTTTGACATCGACGACGACAGCACCACCGGTGAATAAAGATCCTTTAGGAGCACCCGGCTCCTCATCATCTTCAGCAGCAGCTGCGCTAGCCGACAGTGACAACAGTTGTCATGATTACATCACGGTGGATGATCTAATGCAAGACATGGCCGACGAAGCCGGCGACGGTGGGGATGGTCAGGATACTATGAGCCAACCCAAGGATGTGCAGCTTGTTGAAGATCTAGTCAAACACCTCGATGAAGATGACGTTGTGTTGGGTTGCCCAAAGTGGTTGGAGAATTTCAGAGAGTTGAAGCAGGCGGCAGTTGATCCTCTCTATAAGGACGGCGGCGATTGTTCGAAGGAGTACACGGCGCTCCGTTTTAACCTGCATATGTTGATGTTGAAGGCTCATCATGGTTGGTCTGACACTAGCTTCAATGAGTTGTTAAGCTACCTTGCCACCACATACCCAACGGCTAACAAGGTGCCTGCCAATACTTATCGGGCCAAGAAGCTGATCCGGCCAGTGGCGATGAAGCTTAGAAAGTTTGATGCATGCCCTAACCACTGCATCCTGTATCGGGCCAATGAGTATGAGAATTTGACGAGTTGTTCGCACTGCGGCTTTAGTCGGTACAAGAAAAATGCTGGTTGTCACGTGGATGCAGAAGACGAGGGAGGCTTGCGGGGTGGTTGGAAGAAGAACAAGAAGGGGGCAAAGAAGAGCAGTGCGGCCAAACAGATCTCGGCTCAGCAGGACGATGAAGAAGAGGGTTACACGCACAGAAAAAGTCCAGCACTGTCGATGTGGTACCTGCCCGTGACCGATCGCCTGCGTGCAATATTCGGGAACCCGGACGATGCCAAGCTCATGTCCTGGCATGCATCAGCTGACCGCCTGAAAGATGATGGCAAGCTACGGCACCCATCCGATGGCAAGCAGTGGACGGATTTCGACGAGGCCTACCCGGAGTTTGGCAAGGAGCCCAGGCATGTTAGGTTCGCGCTGAGTACCGACGGGATGAACCCGTTCGGTGAGCTTAGCAGCTCGCACAGCACTTGGCCCGTCGTGCTCACCATGTACAACCTACCTCTCCATCTATGTCAGAAGCGTAGGTACCTTATGCTGACCATGCTTATCTCCGGATCGAAGCAGCCTGGCAACGATATAGATGTGTTCCTGGAGCCGTTCATGGAGGAAATGAAGATACTATTTGATGTTTGGGTCCAGATGGTGGATGCATCCCGCAAGGAGAAGTTCACACTAAAAGCAATCATCTTTGTCACCATCACCGATTACCCTGGTCTCTTCTCACTATCGGGGCAGATCAAAGGGAAGACCGGCTGCGTAATTTGCATCGATGGGACCTGCTACACTTACCTTAAGGGATCCAATAAAATGGTGTACACGAGACACAGATGGTTCCTCGCCAAAAATCATAGGTATAGAAGAAGTATTATAAACAAATACTTTGACAATCAGGACGAGCCGCAGTGTGATCAACCGACGCAGACTAGTTGGGGGACAAAGGTGTATGAGACGGTCAAGGACATGGATCAGGTGGAATTTGGAAAGAAGAAGAAGCTGCCTGAAGAGGGGACCAAGTAGACAAGGAAGCGAAAGCGGGACCAGACGGAGGAAGTCCCCGCCGCCGTTCCTTTCAAGAAGAAGTCAATTTCCTTCAAGTACCTATCGTATTGGAAAACACTGAATACACCCCATGCCATAGACTGCATGCACCTGGATAAAAATGTCTTCGAAAGCACGATCGGTGTCCTGCTGGACATCAAGGGCAAGACAAAGGATGGTATCAAGTCACGGACGAATCTTGTCAATCTGGGCATCAGGCCGAACCTTCACCTTGGACCACCTCAGAACGGTAAAGTCGATATCCCGGGTGCGGCCTGCAACCTAACGCAAGACGAGAGGACGGCTTTTCTTAAGTTGCTTAGGGGTATCAAGGTGCCGACTGGTTTCTCTTCCAACATCAAGAACCTGGTCTCCATGAAAGACCTCATAATGACCGGCTACAACTCACACGACTGCCACGTCATGCTGACGGTGTTCCTACCAATTGGGATTAGGGCTATCCGTCCAGAGTACGTGAAGATGGTCATCACACGGATGTCATACTTCTTTAACCGCATCACCCAGAAGGTCATTGATAAGGCTGAGCTGCCTTCCCTGAAAGAGTTCATCGTGGAGACCCTTTGCTAGCTCGAGATGTGCTTTCCACCATCTTACTTTGATATTATGCCACACCTAATGATGCATATGGTCGATCAGATCCATCAACTGGGCCCCGTGTACCTACACCAGATGTGGACATACGAGCAATTCATGTCCACCCTCAATAG